TGTGTGGAAATTTGTTGCATTCCTATATACTAATAGCAAAGCAGCAGAAAGTAAAGTTAAGAAAACGATCCCATTTACAATTGCACCAAAAATAATAAAATACCTTGGAATAAATTTAACCAAAGAGGTGAAAGACCAGTACTCTGAAAACTATAAAAGACTGATGAAAGATATTCAAGACAACACAAAGGTATGAAAAGACATTCTATGCTCACGGATTAGAAGAACAAATACTGGTAAAACGTCCATACTACCTCAAGCAATCTACAGATGTAATGTAATCCCTATCAAAACATCAATAGCATTTTTCACAGAACTAGAACAAACGATCCTAAAATTTGTATGAAACCACAAAAGATGTAAAATAGCCAAAGGAATCTTGTAAAAGAATAACAAAACAGGAGATACTACAATTCCAGATTTCAATTATATTACAAAGCAGTGGTAATTAAAACAGTATGGTACTGGAAAAAAAAAAAAAAAAGACACAGAGCTCAGTGGAATAGAACAGAAAACTAAGAAATAAACCCACAATATATGGTCAATTAATCTTTCACAAAGGAGGAATGAATATCCAGTGGGAAAAAAGACAGTTACTTCAACAAACGGTGCTGGGAAAGCTAGACAACTACAAACTGGACCACCTTCTTACACTACACACAAAAATAAACTAAAAATGGATTAAAGACCTAAATGTGAGACCTGAAACCATAAAAATCTTTGAAGAGAGCACAGAAAGTAATCTCTCTGGCATCAGCCATAGCAACATTTTTCTAGGTCCATCTCCTGAGGCAAGGGAAATAAAAGTAAAAATAAATTATTGGGACTACATAAAAATAATAAGCTTGTGCACAGTGAAGGAAATGATCAACAAAACTAAAAGGCAACCTACTGAATGGGAGAAGATATATGCAAATGACATATCCAATAAAAAGTACCCCAAATAAAGAACTGATACAACTCAACACCCAAAAAAACCACATAATCCAATTAAAACATGGGCAGAAGATGTGAAGAAACATACATGCAAAGAAGACATAAAGATAGCCAACACATACATGAAGATGCTCAACATCACTCATTATCAAGGAAACACAAATCAAAACCACAATGGCTAAAATCAGAAACAGAAGAAACAACAAATACTGATGAAAATGTGGAGAAAAAGGCACCCTATTTTACTGCTGGTGGGTATGCAAACTGGTGCAGTGACTCTGGAAAACAATGGAGCTTTCTCAAAAAGTTAAAAATAGAACTACCCTAGGACCCAGTTAATCACACTACTGGGTATTTACCCCCAAAATACAAAAACAAACAAACAAACAAACAAAAAACCTAATCCAAAGGGATATATGCACCGGTATATTTAATGAAGCATTATTTACAATAGCTAAGATATGGAAGCAGCCCAAGTGTCCATTGATAGATGAATGGATAAAGAAGATGTAGGATATATACATAGTAGAATATCATTCAGCCGTAAAACAAGGAGTAAAATCTTGGGGCGCCTGGGTGGCTCAGTGGGTTAAGCGTGCAATTTCAGCTCAGGACATGATCTTACGGTCCCTGGGTTTAAGCCCCACATCCTATTCTATGCTGACAGCTCAGAGCCTGGAATCTGCTTTGGATTCTGTATCTCCCTCTCTCTCTGCCCCTCCCACATTCGCACTCTGTCTCTCAAAAATGAATAAATGTTAAAAAAATAAATAAAAGAAAGGGCGCCTGGGTGGCTCAGTAGGTTAAGCATCCAACTTCGGTTCAGGTCATGATCTCGCAGTTCATGGGTTCAAGCCCCACATCAGGCTCTGTGCTGACAGCTAGCTCAGAGCCTGGAGCCTGTTTCAGATTCTCTATCTCCCTCTCTCTTTGACCCTCCCTTGTTCATGCTCGCTCTCTCTATATAAATAAATAAATAAATAAATAAATAAATAAATAAATAAATAAAGATAAAAGGAATAAAATCTTGACATGTGTAACAACATGGATACAGCCAAAAGTATAATGCTAAGCAAAATAAGTCAGAGAAAGACAAATACCATATCTCACTTATATGTGGAATTTAATAAACGAAATAATGAATAAATGAAAGAAAACAAAGAAAAAAAACAGAAATTAAGAAACAGACAACTACAGAGAATTGATAGTTAACAGAGTGGGTCACAGGATGGGGAAATAGGGCATAAGGATTAAAGAGTACACTTATTATGATGAAAAAACTAAAATGATAAAAAAAAAAAGATCTCTGCACCCCCCAATTCACTGTAGCATTAATAACAGCGAAGATAATGGAAGCAACCTAAGTGTCCATCAATAGATAAATGAAGATGTGAGATACACACACACACACACTCACACACTGGAATATTACTCAATCACAAAGAAGAGTGAATCCTGCCATCTGAAAAACAGATGGACCTAGAGGACCATGCTAAATGAAGTAAGTCATACCAAGAAATACAGGTACCATATGATTTCAATAAGTGCAATCTGAAACAAACAAAAAGCAGACGCAAACCTGTAAATACAGAGAACTGACTGATGGTTGCCGAAGGGAAGCAGGGGGATGGGCAAATAGGTAAAGGGAGTGGGAAGCTTTTAGTTATGAATGAATAAGAACTGGGGATGAAAGGTACAGGACAGGGAATACAGTGGATGGCATTGTTACAGTGTTGATGGGATTGCTACAGTGTTGTAGGATAACAGATGGCAGTTAACATTTGTGTTGAGCATAACAATGTATCGAGTTATCATAAAGACAGAGACGTCATAGAGACAAAACTTTTCTTTCCTTTAAAGTTTACTTATTTATTTACTCTGAGACAGAGAGAGAGAGAGCGAGCGAGAGAGAGCACGAGCAGGGGAGGGGCAAAGAGAGAATCCCAAGCAGGCCCTGCAACGTCTGCACAAAGTGTGACACAGGGCTCGAACTTGCAAAACGTGAAATCATGACTTGAACCGAAACCAAGAGTTGGACGCCTAACAGTCTGCTACCCAAGTGTCCCTGCAGAGACAAACCTTGTGGACACCTGGCTAAGTATTAAATAAGCCCATCACCAAAGACCAATACTATATGATTCTTTCCACTTACATGAGTTACCTAGGGTAGTCAAATTCATAGAAAGAGAAAACAGAATTTTCCAGAGGCTGGGCAGAGGGAAAAACACGGAGTTATTATTTAATGGGTACATAGTTTGGGTTTTTACAAGATTAAAAAGTTCTGAAGACTGCCAACAGTACTTAATACTACTTAAATGTACACTCAGAAATGGTTAATATGGTAAATGTTTTGTTATATATACATATATACACATACATACACACACACACACACACACACACACATTTTTTTTTACCACAATTTAAAAAAAAAAAAAAGGTTGCCCTGAATATTGCCTACCTAATCTGGATCCTTGCTTCAGGGATACAAACTGAGGGTGTGAGGAAAAAAATGATCAGATATGTAATACAACAGAGGGAGCCTAATAACGTTCCACATTTTGCTGTTATACCCCACTTACACAGCAGTGATTCCATGAGAAATCCATGTGTTCATGTGTTTCAGAAACTATCATCATAAATATTCTAATCCTGGGTGTTCTTCTATAAATACTATTCTAACTCCTCAACCAAATTCAAGGTTCTAGCGAAATGGTTCTCAATATAATGCATTTCAAAATCTCTACGGAGCTTTTGAAAAAGATTTCCACTTCTGGTATTATGGACACGATGACCTCCAACTAAAATTTCAAAACGAAACGTGTTACTAGAGATAAATAAAGGTACTTCATAATGATAAAAAAGTTGATTTGTCAGAGAAACGCAACAATCATAAAAGTGTACATGATAGAGACTTTCAAAATACATAACACAAAAACAGACACCCAAGCAATACCACATAAATCTTAATTTCCAGAGCAGAGCTAGGGCATTGTTATTTACAAACAAAACAAAAAAATTACATGGGGATTTAAATGTGTATGACTGCTCAAGAACCACAGTGTTTGATATCTTATAACTAAAAAATAAGACCTTAGGGTAAATACTACTACTACTGCGGATTGGATTAACAAAATCCTTTCTTATTCTGCAGGAGAATTTGACCCCTGATTAACTTTCTAGTTCTTTTCTTCTAGAAACCAGGGAACACAAATATGTCAATTACGTTGCTAGGTAAAATATCTTTTTTTTTTAAATATTTATTTTAAGAGGGAGCGTACATGTATGAGCATGTTTGAGTATGGGAGAGACAGAGAAAGAAGGAAAGAGAGAATCCAAGCATGCTCCAGGTTGTCAGCACAGAGCTCAACACAGGACTTGATCCCATGAACTGTGAAATCATAACCGGAGCCAAAATCAAGAGTCGGACACTCAAACGAATGAGACCCCCAGGTGCCCTAGCAACATATCTTATAGAAAAAAATTATTTGTGATTGGTAAGGTATATCTGAATTGGGAAGAGCTATACATGAATTGTAAATACTTGATGGAGATACACAACCTTATGCTTTCCTGAGCGGGATATGGCATGTCCTTTGTAGTAAATCTGGAAGAGAGCCCACGGAGCTGTAACAAGAGGTATCCACTCCTAAGGGGCATGAGACTTTAAGCCAAGGTGGCTCCTATGAATCCTGCTGCCTTCAACTGGACAGTCACTTCTGAGTGGCTAAAGAAGACAGTTCCCAGATGGCTATGTAGACTGCATCAAGGACTCCTGCAGCAAGAAATTCCTATTGCTGGTGTGCTGGGAAGCTATGGTTCCTGTCCTATAGCATTCTGAGTAGACAGGGCAAATTGTGGCCTGAGATAGTCCTGTGAGTCTGACTGCTGAGTTGAAGCTAAGAAAACCCTTTGGTGGGTATTACAACTACCTTATCTTTATGTTGTGGTTTAGACATCAGTGCTTCCATGCCATACTCAAGATCTCTAGGTTGACTTCTTAAAATATTTTCCAGTGAAGTTTTTGCTAACGGGGTTTGGGGTGAGGAGGAATCCATTCTAACCTCCCAATGATCTTGTGTATCCAGAATAGTACAATATTCTTTCTGTGGTGGTAGTTTTGCCTGCATCAATATGAGCCATAATTCCAATATTACGGATTCTGTTTGAAAGGTGGAGAAAAAAAAAGCAGGTATTACAAGGTGGACATTACTAAAACCAAAATATGTAATCTATATGCTATGCAAATTTCAAAGATAGTACTTCAGTAATTTATATACTTATATATAATTTATATATAAATGGTATAAAAATGAGAAAACCAGAAAACATATCCCTACTACATTATTCTGACAAAACAGCTAAGTAACAAAGAGCTAACTACAAACTTGTGAATCTTATTTTTATTTCTATGAAAAGTGTGTTGCTCTTATTTAAAATATTTAGCAGTGATTTGGAAAAAAATAGCTTTAAAGATACATACCAACATCTATTTATAACTAGCTAGGGCAGAAAGCTAAATTACCAATGCTAAATGAAGCCCATGACAGAAATCTTTACCTTTTCACAGCAGCGTATGAAAAAAACAGTATCAATGACAGTACTTACTTAGCTATGGGAGGACTGATGACAGACTGAAGGGATTTGATATCATTTCCTATTAAACCTAACGGAAAGAGAGTTATAATTGAGAAGTTTAAGAAATTTTCCTTTAACTGACAAAAGAAAGAAGTTACAATAATTTTAAGCAAATATAATAATTCCAAGTACAGTAAAATCCAAGCTAAATAAAACTTTCATTTACCTAAAAGTTATCTCTAAAAAAAGGTAATAGATAATGTAAGTTTTCAAACACAAATTTCTAGATTACATCCTTAGAAAAATATAAATTTACTCCAATCTTTCCCATTTTTTAAAAATGTTTACTTATTTTTGACAGAGCATAAGCAGGGGAGAGGCAGAGAGAGGGGGGTAGAGAATCAAAGCAGGCTCTGTGCTGACAGCAGTGAGCCCAGTATGGGGTCTGAACTCAGTGAACTGCGAGATCATGACCTGAGGCAACTGACTGAGCCACCCAGGTGCCCCTAATCTTTGCCACTTTCTACAACTCTACAATAGACATAAAAATATAATTATAGAAGTGGAATGTTCATAGCAATAATCGTAAGACAAGAGCTTCTAAAACAAAGAAAAATAAAATGCACAGCCCTGTAAACCTCCATTGTCACGGCCTGAAGAGTTAAGACTGATCTTCATATCAGATGACAATGAAATTTTGTACCATTTGAAACCCATCTAACCCTCAGTACTCCCAAGCACACAATACCTTTAAAGATGCCCTGGGAAATATTACTGAATAACAATCTAATACTTCTAAAAGGACAAGTAGTGTTTCTGGAATACAAAAAGGCCATAATAATTTACTCCAAACTTACATATTTTATTAATAATTTTAAAGCAAAATGCAGTTACATTTATAAACTTAATCTATACCTTCCTATCTAAATCAGTTTTACAAAATATCTATAATAAATTAAGAACAGTTCTACTGTATTTTGAAAACCCCATTGCAATTTGAAGGCCAAAAGATGGCCTGTATGGCTACAGATAAATCTGCATGAGCAAAATACAGAAATGCAGATACAAGCCAATACTGTAGACCATTACATTCAGATATCCTTAACGGTCCCACAATCAGTATTTTTACTCCATTACTCTCACATGACAAAGGTGGAAATGCAAACAGCAACAGAATGCAGCTAGTTTCACTGAGTCTCCCACATGCTTACTTCAAACATAAAAAATATTCAGAATTCTTACCTCGGGCTTTCAGCTTTCAACAGCCTTACTACCGTAAACTATCCGAGATAAGTATTTAAGCAACTACTCTTAAGAACCTTTAAAATAAATTATTTGGGCAGACCTCTAATGACAGAAAATACATATAAAAACCAGAAAAGGACTAGAAAATCAGTATTTTATAGCAAGAGCACTCTCCAAATAGACAACTCGAGAAACTTTTGAGCCAGCGACTAAAGCCACCAACCTCTCTCTTTGTTAAGTTCATTTCGATGAGCAGCACGTAAGAAGGAAGGGCCTATTGGTACTGCCCCTTGGCATCCATCAGAATAGTTCCAACTACTAATAATCTCAAGGAAATAGCCAAGAAGTAACAAGGAGGCACTATTTTTAAAACAGAATGCTTGCCAACGAGATGGAAAGAAAGCAAACAAGTAGTTTAAGTAAAATAAGAATCATCAAAATTGGTACCTGGTAAAGAACTGTAGCTTCTTCCAAGAGACACATATGGCTTGAGAGTTTGTAAACCTGTTCTCATTTTAGAGCAACACATATCCTAGGGAGGAGAAAAAGAACCACGACATTAATTTTATTTTAGCATGACTTAATAGAGTACTTCTAATATCATATCTATGCTTTGTCAGAGGACAAAACGGTTTGAATCTCCTTAAAGTAGTCTGAATTTATTAACTCTAGTTCCTTTAAAAAGTGACAACCCATTGGGGCGCCTGGGTGGCTCAGTCGGTTAAGCGTCCCATTTTAGCTCAGATCATGATCTCACGGTTCGTGGGTTCGAGCCCCACATTGGGCTCTGTGCTGACAGCTAGCTCAGAGCCTTGGAGCCTGCTTCAGATTCTGTCTCCCTCTCTCTCTGACCCTCCCCTGCTCACGCTGTCTCTCTCTCAGAAATTAAAAAAAAAAAACGATTAAAAAAAAGTGACAACCCAAAATTATACTACAGGAAAGAACAAAAATAAAACTAATACTGACTTGCTATTTGAGCTGATCTTAGATGATGGTTCTCTAAGATCTGCAGCATTAACATCACAAGAAACACAAATTCTCCAGACCTACTCCAGACAAGAAAATAACAAACTCTGGGGAAGAAGGCAAAGAATCCGTGGGAATTTTTATTTAATTGAAGTACAATGAGCACAGTGTTTTATCAGTTTCGAGTGTACCGAACAACCGGTGTTTCTACAAGGCCCCCAGGTGACTGCTACCTACAGTTTGAGGGCCACGGCCCTGAAGTGTCCAGAGAACCAGAGAAGCTCTAAGGTCTCTTACCTGGCTACTTCTGGATTCCCCTCCTCTACAGTTGCTAAGAGCTGGAGGGGGGTCATGAACTCTAAAACTATTAGCTGTTTTGGGGATTTATAAAATGGGCTACACATTAGAATCATCTGGAAAACTTTAAAAACATTTGGCGAGGGGCAAAGGGGTAGCTGGGGGAACTAGGGACTGGCATTTTTAAAATTTTCTGAATTATCTTCTCCCAGTGTTTCCACACACAGGCTGAATATTCTCCACCCCAATTTATCCCCAAACCACCAGATACACATATAGTGGCTGTCAGTACATTTGGAATTGTTACAGTTAGTGTAATAATTTGAGGTTGTCACAATGCGCCTTTTAATGCTATCTTGGAATGCACGCCTCTGTCTTCCATATCACTTCTACTATCAGTTACCAAGTGTCTGGCAATAAAACACTATTATCCTAAGAAAACGTTTCAAGGGTAGAAACTAAAAGATATTTAAATTTCCACTGCATACTGACCTGGGTGAGACAGTAGTTATCTGTCACAGGCGTGTAGTCTGAAAGCACCAACAATGAACACACCAAAAAATCCTGTGTAACACTAATGACCTCAAAATGTAATATACAAATGGGTACTCTTCAAAAGGCTGCACAGTGAATTTTCAAGTAGCAAAATGAATGTACAGACTAGTGATAAGGCCTGCTGTTTCTTGGTTACAGTTTCTCCCACACTCCCTGTTAAGAAAAACTGCTGAAGGGGGCGCCTGGGTGGCTCAGTCGGTTGAGTGCCAGACTTTGGCTCAGGTCATGATCTCACAGTTCGCGGGTTCAAGCCCCGCATCGGGCTCTGTGCTGACAGCTCAGAGCCTGGAGCCTGTTTCGGATTCTGTTTCCCTCTCTCTCTGCCCCTCCCCCACTCATCCTGTGTTTCTCTCTGTCTCATTAATAATAAACATTAAAAGAAAAAATTCAAAAAAAAAACCGAAGATAAAGATATACTAGACGAAGAGTATACTGGGCCTTTTGGGAAGGAAAGTAACGGAACTTGGTGAAGTAGATTTAATTTTACAAGAAAAACTTACATTAATGTGCAGGATGGGTATTACCTTATGAGTCACTGCTAATTTTCTCAAGTTGGACAACATGTTGATCCTCTAAACTGTTATTCTCTGAAAAAGAAACATATGAAATTTTAAACCTAAGTTTGCATATTATGCCAGTAAGACATGTGTAAGCATACGCAACATATATGACAACAATGTATTATGTTGAAAAAAATAGGTATAATACTTTTAGCTATCAAAACTCCAAGCATCATTCAGAAAATAAAAATTCTGACAAAAAAATGAGAAATATGGTTCTTAAAATATTTACTTTTTCAACATGTTTTAATTCTTCAAGATATGAACATACCATAAAAAAGGTTGATTTATAAAAATATATCAGACCAACTAAAATGCATTTATGTATTTATGTAGAGTTTATTATGAAAAGGTAAGCGTCTACACGTTAATTTGTTAATTTCTCATTGGTAGTGTAACTGATTGGTTTATCCATATATTCTGATTTTATTCATTCATACCATAAATATTTTCAAAAAAATACACAGGAGCAAGTTGTCTTCTGTGACTATAAAAACTAAGCATCTTTACTTTTTTAAAATTTAAATCCAAGTTAGTTAATATGTAGTGTAATAATGGTTTCAGGAGTAGAATTCAGTGATTCATCACTTACATATATCACCCAATGCTCATCCCAACAAGTGCCCTCCTTAATACCCATCACCCATTTAGCCCACCCCCCACCCAACACTGAGCCAGCAATCTTCAGTTCTCTGCATTTAAGAGTTTCTTATGGTCTGTCTACCTCTCTGTTTTTATATTATTTTTGCTTCCCTTCCCCTATGGTCAACTGTTTCATTTCTTAAATTCCACATATGAATGAAATCATGTATTTGTCTTTCTCTGACTTATTTCATTTAGCATAATACATCTAGTTCCATCCACATTTTTGCAAATAGCATTATTTTGATGATCATTATTTTGATCACTGAATAATATTCCACTGAATGTATATATACTGCATCGCTTTATCCATTCACCAGTCAATGGACATTTGGGCTCTCTCCATACTTTGGCTATTGTCGATAGTGGTGCTATAAACACGGGGGTGCATGTGCCCGTTAAAATCAGCACTCCTGAATCCTTTGGATAAGTACCTAGTAATGCAATTGCTGGATCATAGGGTAGTTCTATTTTTAATTTTTTGAAGAACCTCCATACTGTTTTCCAGAGTGGCTGAACCAGTTTTTGCATTCCCACCAACAATGCAAAAGGGTTCCCCTTTCTCCATATTCTCGCTAACATCTGTTGTTGCCAGAGTTGTTAATGTTAGCCATTCTGACAGATGTGAGATGGAATCTCATTGTGGTTTTGGTTTATATTTCTCTGATGATGAGTGATGTAGAGCATCTTTTCAGGTGTCTGTGAGCCATCTGGATATCTTCTTTGGAAATGTGTCTATTCATGTCTTTTGCCCATTTCTTCACTGGATTGTTTTTCGGTGCGGAGTTTGATAAGTTCTTAGTAGATTTTGGATACTAACCCTTTATCTGACATGTCATTTGCAAATATCTTCTCCCATTCTGCCGGTTGCCTTTTAGTTAAGCTGATTGCTTCCTTTGCTGTGCATAAGCTTTTTATCTTGATGAGGTCCCAATCGTTCATTTTTGCTTTTGTTTCCCTTGCTTCCAGAGACTTTGTCAAATAAGAAGTTGCTGCGGCTGAGGTCAAAGAGATTGTTGCCTGTTTTCTCCTTTAGTATTTTGAGGGCTTCCTGTCTTATGTTTAGATCTTTCATCCATTTTGAGTTTATTTTTGTGTATTGTGTAAGAAAAGTGGTCCAATTTCATTCTTCTGCACTGTGCAGTTTTCCCAACACCATTTTTTTTAATGTTTATTTTTGAAAGACCGAGTGTGAATGGGGATGGGACAGAGAGAGAGAGAGACAGAGAATCCAAAGCAGGCTCCAGACTCTGAGCTGTCAGCACAGGGGCTGATGTGGAGTTCAAACTCACGAACTGCAAGATCATGACCTGAGCTGAAATCAGAAGCTTAACCAACTGAGCCACCCAGGCATCGCCCCCCCCCCCCCCCCCCCCCCCCCCCACCATTTGCTGAAGGGACTTTTCTTCCATTGGATATTCTTTTCTGCTTTGTCAAAGATTAGTTGGCCATACATTTGTGGATCCACTTCTGGGTTCTCTTCTGTTTCATTAATCTATGTACCAGTACCATACTGTCTTGATGATTATTGCTTTGTAATACAGTTTGAAGTCTGGAATCGTGATGCCTCGAGCTTTGGTTTTCTTTTTCAGCATAACTTTGGTTATTTGGGGTCTCTTCTGGTTCCATACAAATTTGAGGTTTGTTCTAGCTCTGTTGGCCTATTTTGATAAAATATTTTGATAGAGATTGCACTGAATACGTAGACTGCTTTGAATAGTGTTGATATTTTAACAGTATTTATTCTTCCCATCCATGAGCATGGAATATTTTTCCAGTTTTTGGTGTCTTTTTCAATTTCTCTCATAAGCTTTCTATAATTTTCAGTGTATGGATTTTTCACCTCTTTGGTTAGGTTTATTCCTAGGTATTTTATGGTTTGGGGTTCAATTGTAAATGGGATGGATTTCTTGATCTTTCTGTTGCTTCATTACTGGTGTATAGAAATGCAACCGATTGCTGTATACTGACTTTATATCCTGCAACTTTGCTGCATTCATGGATCAGTTCTAGCAGTTTTTTGGTGGTCTTCTGGGTTTTCCACATAAAATATCATGTTGCCTGCGAAGAATGAGAGTTTGACTTCCTCCTCACTGACTTGGATACTTTTTATTTCTTTTTGTTGTCTGATTGCTTACGCTAGGACTTCCAACACTATGTTAAATAACAGTGGCAAGAGTGGACATCCCTGTCATGTTCCTAGACTTAGAGAGAAAGCTCAAGCTCTCAGTTTTTCCCTATTGAGGATGATATTAGCTATGGGTATTTCGTATATGGTCTTTATGATCTTGAGGTATGTTCATTTTATCCCTACTTTCTTGAGGCTTTTTAATCAACAAAGGATGCTGTATTTTGTCAAATGCCTTTTCTGCATCTGTTGAGAGGACCATCTGGTTCTTATCTTTTATTAATGTGATATATCACAGTGACTGATTCGTGGTTATTGAATCAGCCCTGCAGACCAGGAATAAATCCCACTGGATCATGGTGAATAATTCTTTTAATGTACTGTTAGATTTTTGCATCCATGTTCACCAGGGAAATTGGTCTGTACTTCTCCTTTTAAGTGGGGTCTTTGGTTTTGAAATCAAAGCAATGCTAGCTCGCAGAATGAGTCTGGAAGTTTTCCTTCCATTTCTATTCTTTGGAACAGCTTCCAAAGAATAGGTGTTAACTCTTCTTTAAATGTTTGGTAGAATTCCCCGGAAAGCCATCTGGCCCTGGACTCTTGTTTACTGGGAGATTTTTGATCTGTGATTCAATTTCTCTACTGGTTATGGGTCTGTTCAAATTTTCTATTTCTCCTTGTTTCAGTTTTGGTAATTTGTAAGTTTCTAGGAATTCATCCATTTCTTCCAGATTACTCAATTTGTTGGCATATAATTGTTCCTAATAGTCTCTCCCTATTGTTTGTTTCTGCGATGTTGGTTTGGTCTCTCCTCTTTCATTTATGATTTTAATTATTTGGGTCCTTCCCTTTTTCTTTTTGATCAATCTGGCTAGGGAATATTATATACATATATATATGTATATATATTCTTTCTAAGAACCAGCACCTGGTTTCATTGATCTGTCCTAGTGTTTTGGGTTTTTTTATTTCAAGGTCATTGATTTCTTCTCTAATCTTTATTCTTTCCATTTTTTCTGCCGGCTTTGGGTTTTATTTGCTGTTATTTTTCCAGCTCTTTTAGGTGTAAGGTTGTGTATGTGAGACCTTTCTTCCTTCTTTAGGAAGGCGTGGATTGCTATGTGCTTCCCTCTTATGACCGTCTTTGCTGCATTCCAGAGGTTTTGGGCTCTTATGGTTTCATTTTTAATTTCAGCCTGACTAGATTTTATTTCTCTATTTCCTCAGAAAAGGATTCTTTCGTATCTTCTATGCTTTTTGTAACCCCAGCTAGTATACTTAACATGGTTCTAAATTCTAGTTCAGATATCTTACTTATATCTGTGATTATTAAGTACCTCACTATCATTTCTTCCTGTTCTTTCTTTTGCGGGGAATTCCTTCATTTTGTCATTCTGAACGAAGAAGCAAATTGATAATAATTAAAAATTTTAAAAATAAAAACAAAACAAAAAATCAAATGAAGGAAGCTAGATCCTAGGTGTGTTTCAGTCTGCTTGTTGAAAGAAGCTTGACAGAATACAGAATGGGAAAGAAAATAAAGGGAAGAAAAATTTAAAAATTTAAAAAAGTATATAATAAAATAGAATAAAATAAAGAATAAATTTTTTTTAAATAAAAAAGCAAAAAAATAAAAACAAATTTTTCTTTCTGTATCTATGAAAGAAAAAGAAAAACAAAAACAATTTAAGCAGAAACATAAGCAAAGAAAATGAATAAATGAACCAGCAAACAGAATGAAACCCAAATGAAGTTACATCCAGTTTCCTCTAGAAATCAAAGTATGAAGCACTCTATGTTCCCTGCCCTAAGCAGGTGGAGTGACTTGTGCTGATCTTCTGGGGGATGCACTTGATGAGCACAGCTGGGCGGGGATCTGTTCAGTGTGCAACGTGCAGGAGAGAAGTGGGAATGGCTTCACTTAGCCCCCTTTCCTCAGGACATGTCACAAGACATTCACACTTTCACCGAACCACAATAAAGCACCCCTCCTCTGTCTCAGGCCTCTGTCCACTCCCTGCCTCTACCGTATCTGTGTGTAAACTGCCTGCCTTCCAGGTGCCACCTCCCTCCAGAGTTTTATCTCAGATGGGGTTGTGTTTCAAACCCCACACTTGGGAGACCCCTGCAGCATGGACCCGCACCAACTTTCTGGGGAAGGATCTCACTGAGCAATGGCTGGGTGCTGGCCTGTCCCAGAAAACACTCATGCAATAGTGCAGCGGCAGAGTTTCAGAAATTATGGCAAACCACAACA